ATCAATATAACATTTACTATAATATCCTTAGTTATTTGATGAATCAACTTACCAATATTAAATGTTTTTGAATTAAATTAAGGATAATATAGTAATACAAACATTAATTAGTCTAAAAGTTAATTATCAGAAATATGGACTACATTACCGTGAAGTGTTTGTGCATGTATCTAGAAATGAAACAATCAAATTGGTGATTGCTATATCTGTAAATAGGAATTGGCCTCTGATGCATTTAAATGTGAAATTTGCATTTATGAATGGTCCATTACAAGAAGAGGTATACGTGTCACAACCTCCTAGAATTGTGAATAAGAACAAGGAATGGATGATGTACAAGTTATATAAAGTATTGTATGGACTGAAACAAGCTCCTAGAGCTTGGAATCTGATTATTGATTCATTTTTCAAGCTGCAAGGATTCAGAAAGTGTGAGATGTAATATGGCGTTTATGTTCAACATACTTCTGAAAGCAATATGATTTATGTGTGTCTCTATGTTGATGATATATTTCTAAAAGGGAGTTATTCATATGAGATAGTCAAGTTTAAGAAGGTGCTGATGAATGAGTTTGAGATGAATGATCTGGAAATATGGTATATTTTCTAGGGATGGCAATTTTGCACTCTAAGAAGTGTATCATTTTACATCACCTGAAGTAAGAACTTGAACTTCTGAAGAGATTTGAGCTAACAAATTGTAAGACTGCAATCACAACTGTTGAGCCAAATCACAAGCTGGATTCTAATGTTGAGGGTGATGATGTAGATGCTACAAATTTTAAACAGTTGGTTGGCTAGTTGAAATATATGTGTAGCACCAGAACTGACATTTGTTATGCAATTGAAATAGTAAGTAGGTTTATGAATAAACCAAAGTGGTCAAATTTTCAAATTACTGTTAGGATACTGAGGTACATTAAAGGGACTCTGAGGTATGGAGTTTTGTTCATTTCTGGTGTTAAATCTGACTTAGAGTTGATATGTTATTCGGACTCTGATTGGTGTGGAGACGGATTTGAAATCAGGAGTACTTCTAGATATTTTTTCAAGTATCTGGGAAGTCTCATTCTTGGTGCTCCAAGAAGAAACATGCGGTTGCGTTGTTAACTTGTGAAGCTAAATACAACACAGATGCTTTGTCTGTGTGTCAAGCTATTTGGCTGATGAATTTGTTGCAGGATCTGAAGATCAAGGTGAGCAAGCCTGTAAAGTTGATGATAGACAACAAATTTGCCATAAGCCTTGTCAAGAACTCAATGTTGCATGGGAGAAGCAATCACATTAACACAAAGTTCTATTGTTTGAGAAACTGGGTTCAGAATGGAGTACTAAAAGTTGTACACTATAGCACTCAAAAGCAACTTACAAATATTCTGACAAAAGTTTTCAAGACTGAACACTTTGTCCATTTGAGGGATGGAATTGGTGTTGTAGTTTTTGGTTAGCTGGATATAAATTAATTGATGATGTTATAAGTAATTCATGTTTAGAAGTTTAATATTCATAAGCAGTATTCTGACTCAGAAACAGAACTTCTGAGGTTGTTGTTCCAGAAGTTTGTTTAGCTTTTAGGGTCTGTTTTATTTTAGCTTTGTTAGTTGTGCCTACATGGCAATTTAGTTTGTGTATTAACAAGTTTGTAACTAGTTTTTTCATAACGTGAATTTACAAGATTTTCACACATGGTATATCTCTCCAAAAAGTTTGTTATAACCATTTTCTCTCTCTCTCTCTCTCTCTCTCTCTCTCTCTCTCTCTCTCTCTCTCTCTCTCTCTCTCTCTCTCTCTCTCTCTCTCTCTCTCTCTCTCTCTCTCTCTCTCTCTCTCTCTCTCTCTCTCTCTCTCTCTCTCTCTCTCTCTCTCTCTCTCCTCTCTCTCTCTCTATCTATCTATCTATCTATCTATCTATCTATCTATCTATCTATCTATCTATCTATCTATCTATCTATCTATCTATCTATCTATCTATCTATCTATCTATCTATCTATCTATCTATCTATCTATCTATCTATCTATCTATCTATCTATCTATCTATCTATCTATCTATCTATCTCTCTCTCTCTCTCTCTCTCTCTCTCTCTCTCTCTCTCTCTCTCTCTCTCTCTCTCTCTCTCTCTCTCTCTCTCTCTCTCTCTCTCTCTCTCTCTCTCTCTCTCTCTCTCTCTCTCTCTCTCTCTCTCTCCCTCCATATTCATATTTATCTTCAACCTTGTACTCTAACAAGGTGGAATATTAAAATTAAAAAAAAGGAGTCATCTGAATTGATAGCACTTAGGGTGTGTTTGGCTTGGAAGAGAAGTTGTGGGACCCACTCTTTTTAATATTCTCTTTCTTATTTCTCTTGTTTCCAAACAAGAGAAGTTATCAATCTCTCTACAATTTCTCTCTCACCTATTTCTCTCTTTCCTACCTCTACTCTATCAAACACACCCTTAAAGAAATACAATATTGGGCGCGAGTTCAAATTAATGACATTCTCACTTATTCAATTTTAAATAGTGAATTTTTACCACTAAACTACATGACAAAAAAAACAAAATTGTATCAAATTTCTCCTTTAGTTATAGCTTATTTGGATAGCATTTAATAATATGAGTCTTTTCACTTATAATAACATATAAAATAAAGGCTTAAATGCAACTTTAGTCCCCTTATTTTACCTTTTTCAATTTTGGTCCCCTCATTTCAAAAATCGGTTTACACAGTCTTCTTAATTTGTTTTTATGAGGAATATAGTCCCCTTTTCAATCTGAGTGTGTTTTTTAATGACGTGGCAGATCCATTACATATGTGTCATGTGCTAAATGAAAATTATAATTGATAATTGTATATATTTTTTTTTTGGTAATGAAATTAAAAATTAAAAATAAAAAATAAATTGTTATCTAACCCTAATTTTACACATTCATATGCGCCTTCTCTCCCACTAGGTTAGTTGCGCCTCCACCATGTAAGTTGCGTCTTCTCCCTCAAGTTGCATCGTCTCCTTCAAGCTGCATAGTCTCCCCCAAGTTGCGTCGTCTCCCTCAAGCTGCGTCGTTCCTCTTGTCCCCAAGCGCCATATTCCTCGCCTTCCTTAAGCTTCATTCATCTTCTTCTCATACTTCTGATACATCATTCATATCTTCCTCAAGATTTTCAACTGCTTCAACAAATGGGCCACAATTACGGCCAAATGACGAAAATATAGCTATCAACCCACCTGTCATGAGAAGAGCTATTGGGCGTCCAAAGAAGAATCGAAACAAGGATAATGATGAGCCTAGAAGCACAAACACTTTGCCAAGACTTCTTTAAATTGTGAAATGCAAAAAATGTGGTAATATGGGACAAAACAAAATAACTTGCAAAGGGAAGCGAGCGGCTGAGAGATTCATTCTTAAGTGTGGTAACAAAAAAAAAGACAAAAAAGGATGTTGGGCAAACTGTCATAGAAGGGGGATCTCAAGCACCAAGAGCATCTCAATAATAGTTCTACATTAGGGTTTATGTTATCTGTTTTGAGTCTGTAATGGCTTTTGTGTAATGAACTTGTTTTGGGCCTATAATGACTTTTGTGTAGTGAACATGTTTTGGGCCTATAATGGCTTTTGGATAGTGAACCTATTAATGGCTTTTTGGTTTTGTTAAGAATCTTTTTTATGGAAATTTGTTATGGAAATATAATGTCTGTTATAGTGTATATCAATCAAAACAAGTTTGTTATAGTACATATCGCAAATTAACAACAGAAATAATTTCAACAACAGATTTCATTTCAATTGAATATAACATTACATGTTCATATAAATGCAATTAATTACAGAATATTATAACAAACACATGTTACATAGATAAGCAACAAACACATGTTACAACATTACACTACACCTACTTAAATAATTGTGTTGCAGCAAATACAAACACAAATAACATAACAAACACAAGTGATAAACCCAGTAAATAACCCATAAACTTGTTCTTTGCCTTCAACAACTCTTCATTTTTCTCTCTTTTCCTCAGCATCTCCGTAAGTTCATCATTTCTATTTTTCAACAACCTAATTACATCCTTTGCGCGATCGTCCGTACTTTATCATACGATTTAAAATAATTACAACCTCTTTTCCTCACGAGCTTGTAATTACTACAACCATAAAACCTTCTACTTGGATTTTCGTAGGTCCATGATGTCATTAATGGTGACTCAGTGTCACACCAACATGTATGGACTCTTCTTCTTAAACCCAAATGATTTGTTGAAGCAATTGAAAACCTTGAGGAAGACATGAATGATGTATCAGAAGTAAGAGAAGAAGATGAATGAAGCTTGAGGAAGACGAGGAATATGGCGCTTGGGGAAAAGAGGAACAACGCAGCTTGAGGGAGACGACGCGGTTTGAGGAAGACGACGCAGCTTGAAAGAGACCACACAACTTGAAAGAGAAGACGCAACTTACATGGTGGAAGTGCAGCTAACCTGGTGGGAGAGAAGACACGGGTGAATTTATAAAATTAAGGTTAAATAACAATTTATTTTTTATTTTAATTTTTAATTTCACCAAAATTAAAAAATAAACAAAACATATAATTATCAATTATAATTCCCATCTGACATATGACACATATACAATGAATCTGCCACGTCATTAAAAACACACTCAAATTAAAAGAGAACTTAATTTCTTTGAAAAATAAAATAAGAGAATTGTGTAAACCGATTTTTAAAATAAGAAGAAAAAAAAAAGGCAAAATAAAAGAACTAAAATTGCAGTTAAGTCTTAATTTTATTATTAAAATCAATATTTGTAACCATTCTCTTAATAACTGCATAGTTGTTCAAGTAAGACAATTTTTATGAGAGGAAGTACAAAATATTTGAACACGTATTTAACACAACGTTCTAAGACAGAACAACAACAAACAAAAAAAAGAACATAACAACTTCACTAATAATAAGGATTGATTTTGTTGAGTAGAGTGGCTGTTTGTCTTCTCCTACACCATTTCATGAGAGATGAGAATATTGCAACATTCTACAATCCGTTCACGTCCTTACGCATGTTTTATGCAGTGTTATTTGCACTTCCAAGCACATTACTCTTCATCTTCTTCTTCTTCTTCTTCTTTGCCTCCAACAGAAGATCACCTATGTCAGCTGATACTTGACCAAAAAACCGCCTCTGAGGCACTCCAAACCTTCAGATGGGCCTCAACCTTCTCCAAATTCACCCATTCCCAATCCACATATCGCGCTTTAATCCACAAGCTATGTATTTTTCGCCGTTTCGATACCGTCAAGCAACTGCTCGACGAAATGCCTAGCTCAATCGGAGCTTCTCCCGGTGATGGAATCTTCATAACCATCGTCCGTGGACTCTCCCGTGCTGGAATGACACGAAGGGTCATCAAAGTTATTGACTTGGCTTACAAGTTTCACGGTACACCTTCGTTGAAGATCTTCAACTCCATTTTGGATGTTCTAGTGAAAGAGGACATTGATATGGCTAGAGAGTTTTATAGAAAGAGTATGATGGAGAGTGGTGTTCATGGAGATGATTACACTTTTGGGATTTTGATGAAAGGTCTTTGTTTAACTAATAGGATTGGTGAAGGTTTTAAGCTTTTGCAGCTTATTAAGTCTAATGGGGCTGCCCCGAATACTGTCATTTACAATACTTTGCTGCATGCACTTTGTAGGAATGGAAAGGTTGGTAGGGCTAGGAGCTTGATGAATGAGATGGTGAGCCCAAATGATGTTACCTTTAATATTTTGATATCTGCGTATTGTAAGGAAGAGAATTTGGTTCAAGCTCTTGTTTTGCTTGAGAAGTGTTTTGGAATAGGTCTTGTACCTGATGTTGTTACCATAACTAAGGTGGTTGAGATTCTATGCAACGCTGGCCGTGTAACGGAGGCTGCCGAGGTTTTGGAGAGAGTTGAGAGCTTGGGGGGTTCACTAGATGTTGTAGCTTACAACACATTGCTAAAGGGGTTTTGTGGAGTGGGAAAAGTGAAAGTTGGACTTCATTTCCTGAAGCAAATGGAGAATAAAGGCTATCTTCCAAATGTGGATACCTATAATATACTGATATCTGGGTTTTGTGAATCTAGGATGTTGGATTTGGCTCTTGATCTTTTTAATGATATGAAGACAGATGGAATCAAACGGAACTTTGTTACTTTCGACTCAATGATTAGAGGTTTGTGTTCAGAAGGAAGAATTGAAGATGGTTTTTCAATTTTGGAGTTAATGGAGGAAACCAAAGAAGGGTCTAAAGGGCACATTAGTCCTTACAATAGCATAATCTATGGTCTATTCAAACAAAATCGTTTCGATGAGGCAGCCGAGTTTCTAACAAAGACTGGAAAATTGTTCCCTAGAGCTATTGACAGAAGCCTGACAATTTTACAGCACTGCAAGGAAGGTAATATTAAAGATGCAAAGAATGTATACGATAAGATGATTGATGAAGGCGGAATCCCAAGTATTATAGTTTATAACTCTCTTGTTCATGGCTTTTCACGACAAGGTAGTATCCGAGAGGCCGTAGAGCTTATAAATGAAATGATAAGTAATAACTGTTTTCCCATTGCATTTACATTCAATGCTATCATCGCCGAGTTTTGTAGAGAAGGAAAAATTGAAAGTGCCTTGAAGTTCATGGAAGATATCACTGCAAGAGGTTGTGTACCAAATACAGAAACTTACAGTCCTTTGATTGACGTGTTATGCAGGAAAGGGGATCTTCAGAAAGGCATGCAGGTATTTTTGGAAATGGTAGAGAAGGATATCATTCCTAACCAATTTATTTGGAAAACACTGCTACTTAGTTTGAGTCTGCAAAACAATATCAGTAAGAATGTTTCTAATATAGACTATTTACTTTAGTGGATTAGGGAGAGTTCAACTTTGTTCTAAAGGATCGGTTCCAGCATAGAGTGGATTAGAGACACCTGCACCGACAATTGTGATTATATTTAATTTATTTATTTCTTCAAATTATTATCGGTGTCACACTATCAACGTCAGAGTCATATTCGGTGTGTCCATGTTTCATAGGTTGTGGATCTCCATGACAAGAGTGAAGACTTGTTTGATGAAATATATTGAATTATCTTGTGCAGAATTCATCATTTCCAATTGTAAACTTTGATTAAAAGTCTAAAAATATGTTAGCCCTCCATAAGTACTATTTCTTATTTCCACGTTTCTATCATCATCCTTTTTCAGAATTTGTATAACCTCTGTGACGTGCATAAATCACATAGCTCGTGTTTTAATAATATAAATAAGGACAAGTCAAATCTATAATTTGATTGGTCGGTCACGACAGCCCTCTAAGATAACGATGAACACATTTTCTTCATTTATGTGATCACAATTCATAAAATATCTTGTACAAATCTGGTCCAACGATGTTCAGAATTTTTCTTTTTTTGGGTATATATTTAATTTAGAGTGAAACTTGAGTTTTTTTTAATACACTACATCGCGTCTAAGATTATTAAGTTTGGTGCGCATATTAATGATTGGTGACTCAAATTGATAGACTTATGATATTGTAATAGAATTTGTTAATTTAGTTTAACTCAATTTTATAAAAGTGGTTGATAAGGAGACAAATTACACTTTATATTAGGGTGGCAAAATAGATTTAGTCCGTTTGACATGTCTGTTTTGTTTGCACTTTTCTATGAAGCAGTTTTAGGCTCTCAACTTCATATATGACCGTCTCATTCAATTTTTTTTGGGGTTTTATGGGCATGAACATTTACATAAAATTTTATATTTTTAAACTTAAAAATTATAAAATCCGCGAACATTCTCTGTTCCACCCTAATTTTTTTTTGGGTGGAGCAAGATTTTAGATTCACACTCACAACTATGTTCACCTCACCTGATTTTTATACGAATTTTTATGAAACAGAACTAAATGGGACGGGCATGCTCGTTTGCTAATCCTATTTTATATTATAGACTCTTTCTTTAATCAATATAAAACTTGAATTTTTAATACACCCCCATGTGCCAGTTTTATCGGAAATAATGCAGATAAAAATAGTGAGTGATTCAAATCTATAGATATAGATTTTTGATACCTTATTATATTTAAATGTAGAGAAAAAGGAACATGCAAGTGATATATCATACCATTACTTTTAAATAAATTATATAAAATGATTTTATTTAATAACTGTATAAAATAGTTTTATATTGTCAATATACTATCTTTTAATTCTAAAATTTAACCTAACTTATATTTACAAAATCAAAATATAAAGTGAGACATGTTTTTCTGTATACATTCTTTGTATGTTCTACCTTTAACCAATCTCCTTAGAAAAGCCTCCGTCAACCTATCTTCTAGATTTAGTTTGGTCACCCTTGCAAAGCTTATTAGTCTTTGATGATGATCATATGGAAGAATCTCCTTCTTAGTTTTTAATACACCCGTCTATTTTTATAGTGAAAACTAACTCTTCATGATATTGATCATTTACGTTAATTGATAAATAAATATGTTTAGAAATTCAAAGATATTTTGGTCATTTTATACAATTTAAGAAATTCAATAAATTTGGTGAATTTTGTTTAAAATATATAATTACTTTTATATTTTATCTTTGACAAAACATTTAAAGGTCTAATATTTATATCTCATGCCAAAATAAACTTGCCGTCTCTCTAAGAAAAATGAAAAAGAATAACTCTTCTCGAAACATCTTTTTTTCGTGTAAGAAATTCTCTCTTTAAGTTATTGGTTATTTTTTTCATATTTTAATATTTATAAAAATATTTATTTTTAATATTGAAAATAATAAATATGAGTTTGAAATATTGAGAAATAGTATTTTTGAAAGTTTCACATTAATTATAAAAGTAAAGACTTCAATATTTATGAGGGAGAGAATCAATACATCTATTATTTTAAAATTTTGAATAATTATATGATGTGTCTCCCACAAAATATATTGTTAAAAAAGAAAAAATCTAAACGATAAATACTTTCTCATATTGAACTTTCAAAATTAAAATTCATGTTGAACCTCTTAAATGATGACCCAACAACTAATATCACAAGGTGTGTTGTTGAAAAAAAAAAGACCTTGTGATAAATGTTCTCTCATCTTGAATGATAATCTAGAATTTTTTTATGATAAGTGAATCAACTTTCTATTAGTGCGTAAGACATTTTTAGTGAAGAGAGAAAGAGAGAATAAAGAAAAATAACGATTGCATTATTGAATGAATTGTGTTGTACATATAATGATACAAATTATGACTATTTATATACAACTCTAATTGGGCTTAGACTTTTTACCTTAGATTATATTTGATGTTATATCTAATATTCAACACATCTAATTTGAATTATATTTGATATTATATTTAATATCTCAACATATCTAACTTGGATTATATTTGATATTATATCTAATATCTCAACATACCTCATATAATCCAAGTCTTCGAACCTACGCTAATCACAGGCAATCTGAATTATTTCCAATTTCTTTCTTAAATTCAAGAATATGTCGATCTTCAATCCTTTGGTGAAGATGTCGGCCAACCCCACTTCACCCAAGCAATGTCTTACTTCAAGTTCACATTGATTTACCTTTTCCCTCAAGAAGTGAAATATAACTTTGATATGCTTACTCTTCCATGCAAAATTGAATTCTTCGCCAGATTTATGGTTGACTTGTTGTCGATTTGCAACACAAGAGGTTTTTTCACTTCGACCTCCATTTCTCAAGTACTGATCTTATCCAAATTGCTTGATATGCAGCATATGATCCTGCTATATATTCAACTCCACACGATGATAATGTCATCATAGGTTTCTTTTTCAAGCACCGTGAGATTGGAGCACAAAATACTTGAAAGAAATATTCAGTTGTGCTTCTTCAATCTTCCTTATCTCCACACTAATCAGTATTTGAAAAACAAGTAATTATTGCTTCTTTTACTTCATAATCTCGTTGAAATAGAATTCCATAGTCTATCGATCCTTTTAAGTATCTCAGAATTCTTCTTGCAGCCTTCATGTGTGAGACTTTTGGTTCACTCATGTATCTGCTCACTAATCTGACTATGAAACCTATATCAGGTCAATTGTTGCACACATACCTCAGAGATCCCACACCTTGAACAAAGTTACATCGACTTTTTCTTTCTCTCCATTCTTCTCGTACTTCACATTTGGTTCAACAGATGAGGATGCATGATTCGAATCATCCATTTTGAATCTCTTGAGTATATCTTTGACATACTTCCGTTAATGTAGCACCATACCTTACTTCGATATTTTAAATCCTATTCCTAGAAAATAAGACAATTTTCCCAGATCTTACATTTTAAATTCCTTCATCATCAGCTCTTTGAACTTCGACAAGTTCTCCAAGCTATTTCTAGTTACCACCAAGTCATTGACATATAAACAGATGATTGTTATATCTTATGTTACAATTTGAACATAAATACCATACTCTGATTTGCATTTGACAAATTCTAATTTAACTAAGTATGATTCGATCTTCTTGTTCCATATCTTAGGTGTCTGCTTGAGGCCATAGAGCGCTTTGTGCAACTTATATACTTTACTCACTTTCTTTTGAATCACAAACCCTGGAGGTTGTATGGCATAGACCTCTTCGTCTAAAGGACCATTCAGAAATGCTGATTTCACATCTAAATGAAATATCAACCAGCCTTGGTTGCATGCCAATGGTACCACTGGTCGAACAATCTCCATTCTTACTACCGGAGCAAATACTTCATAGTAGTCAAGTCCTGCTCTTTGAAGAAAACTTCGAGCTACTAATCTTGCTTTATGTCTTACTATAAACCCATCAGAATTGTGCTTCAACTTGAACACCCATTTCACTTTAATAGCTTTTATATATGCTGGCAATTAGACTAACTCCCATGTGTTGCTTCTTTCGATTGCCTGTAACTTTTTGACCATATCAGACTTCCACTGTTTATTCTTCAAAGCCTCACTATAGTTGATTGGTTCAACATCTGTAAGTAAAGCAAAATGAATTGATTCTCCATTTGGTGTTACTTCGTCATCATCAGTTACTTCATAGTCTTGAAATCTAGTTGGATGAACTATAGTTCTATGAGGTCTTTGGCTTGTGTTAGCCACACCCTCTTTGACTTCGACTGTGTTGAGAATGTCAGTAACTGCTTCGACATCGACTTTATCAGTTTCTTCGTTGAAACCATAACTCATCAATAGCTTGTTAATTGCATCATTAGAATTCCAATCCCAGACAAAATTTTCATCAATCACAATGTCTCGACTAAACAAAATCTTCTCATTAATTGGGTTGAATATCCTGTATGCACCAGTTTTATGATATCCTACCAGAATTATAGGTTCACTATTGTCATAATGCTTCCTTCTTATCGCATCAGGAACATACTTGTAACACATAGATCCAAACACCTTCAAATGAGTTACTGATGCCCGTTTGTCACTCCACACTTCTTCAGGAACCTTGTTCTTCAATATCTTTGTAGGGCACTGTGATACGGTGGGAGAACTGACTATGGTTTTGCGTTTTTTTTCGCAAATGTTTCGGTTGAGCAAGAGTCGCCACCGACTTTTTATTTTATCCTAAGGAAAGGTTAAAAAGCACAGCAAAAACCTTTGAGATGTTTTCTTGGGTTCGGGGAGTAGATTATAGAAAGGGAAGGTGTTAGCACCCTTTCTATCCATGGTTATCCATGGGCTCTTAGTTACTTGCTTAGATCAACTTACCTTAATTTTCAATTGTTTGAAATGGTGCTTTGTGTGTGGGTTTGAAAATGTTTTTGAAAATAGGCCAATGTGGTGGCAACCTTTGTAATGATCCATGTTGGGATGTATACAAAGGTGT